CGAACCGGCGACCTTCTTGCTGCGAGGCAGCGGTGCAAACCGCTGCACCACCTTGCAGCCCAGTGTAATATCTCTTTTCTTCAAATTTAGGACTCAGCGATGAACTGATGAGATGTTGAGATCTCATAAGACACATTTTATTGGTCTTAGCTCAAGAAATCACACACTAGTTATGCAAAAAACATTCACACTAAATGTTATCCTAATAGGATAAAAATGACGCAGTGGTGACATTTAATATCCATCAGGTCAAAGGTCAACTTCACTGCGACATCATAACACCCTTTTCAACATGATTCACCATTCTATCAGGAACAGAAGGTGGATTCAACTGCAATGTGCTAAATCTGATTTTATTTGGAATTACAGAGTGAAATATCACTCAGAAGCTTGGATGGACACACACAAGGTTACTTTAATGTAAAACACAATTTCCTGCAGGGCTACTTTTTGCCAAATCCGTTGCAAATTGCAATGACAATCATGAAATTCTATTCTAGTATTTATTCTGATCATCTTGACTGTGTTTAAGCTGAATGTAAGTTGCTAAAACATTATAGGTGAGTTGGTTAAACGTTATTTTGCTATCAATAATCATTCAGGGCCTCTGACCTTGACGGTGTTTTTAATACCTTTCTGTTTACTACACAATATGGGTCATTTAGTAGTTTGTGTTGTCTGCGTTGTTTCATATTTGAAAGTCATAAAAATGAAAACAAAAAAAATCAAGCTTCTGACTGCTATAGTATCAAATTATTGCATAAAAAAAAACTTTCTTAGTATAAACATTAACATTACATTGCATGGAATTAGTAGCAATACTCAACAGCCAGTATTTTAAATGTGATACCAATAACAGCGACTTGACTAAATATCCCTTACTCAGCTGCCTTAGTTCACATTTAAATCTTAAAAATTCTGCCCAGAACCATGTTTCAAAACAAGAGGCACTTTTGTAAAACACTTGCGAATCATTTATTAATATTTACGCATCAGAACAAATATAAGAAGTCGATACATTTTTGATAGAAGGCTCAAAACATAATATAATGTTTTCTTTACTGTATTTTTCAAGACTTTTTTAACACTGAAGTAATTTCTAACCACACGTTTTTACAAATTCACGTAAAAATTAACAAAGGCTTAAACGCCTGCAGGAGTCTTGGACACAATAGGTTATAATGCAACTGTTTCCTCCTCTCTGATGTCCTCATACCTGCTTTCTGTGTATTAGCATTACTTATGTATATGACAGTCTCACAAAGTCAGACTTATGCTGGACAGACTGGTCTGATGGCACCTCATCATCATTCTGCTACAGGGGAAAAGGCTTATTGGTACAAATCATGTATTTGTTTATTCATTTTCTTGGTGTTGTTTATTTTATTTCATTGTAGTCGTTTGTTTTAATGTTGTTGTTTGTTTCATTTCATTTTGTTGTTTATTTCATTTTATGTGGTTGTTCATTGTATTTTATTCTTGTTTATTTTATTTTGTTGTTTATTATATTTTACGTTGGTTTGCTTTATTTCATTTTGTTGTTTACTTAATTTTGTGTTGTTTATTTAATTTTATTTTGTTATTATTTCAACTTAGTGTTGTTTATTTTGTTGTTTATTTATTGTTTATTTTTATCTAAGTGTTGTTTTTTNCGTAGGAAGTTCTCTTTCCAAAACTGAATCAATTTAATTAGGCTTCTTCCATCTGAAAGTGACAGCAGATTTCTACAAAGTAATGTCAATTAATTAACCTCTTAAGACCTGACGTCCACATGTGTGCACATCACATTTTTTAGATCTATTTTTTTAAATATATTTTTATTTTTAAACATTTTTTTTATTCTATTTAAAGAGAAATTTAAAAAATGCATCTCAAACAAGAGCTCGGGTCTCAACAGGTTTAACATATAACACATAAATGAGTGCATAAATATTCAGATCTTCCAGCCAGTATTTATCAGATTCACCTTTAGTGTTCACAGTGTTTTGCATCTCAGCTGCTGAAGCTCATAACTAATTCAGAGGAAGTCACAGGTGTCTTTGTGGCCAATAGATTCACACTCCTTCTGTTTCCTAGCGATGCATTTGACTGCACGCCAACAGATAATCAGTGACTTCTCTTTTTTTACGAGGTTCCTCAGAGTCTTCTTTTGTCAGGAGCACAAACACACCAGTGGTTGGACCTTCCTTCTTTGTACTGCAGTGATTGAGATGCATTCGCTGCACTTAGATAATCTTCATTTCATCGACTGTGTGATTTCCAGGCTGCACCTGCGTTGAGTTAGATGAGTCACTACAAAGAGTAATTCTGTAGGAAATCTGTTTTGCCACAAAACAGTTCTTGTCAAAAAAAAAAAGACAAATTCAATCGACATTTCCCCCCCCCCGTTTTATATACATGCAGGCACGACGGCAGAGCGGTAAAAGGCTGTCGGATAACTTCCCCAGGAAACAGATTGAGTCACTTTGCGTATTTTACCTTGAAATTGTGTATACGTGAGGGTGGCAGGGGTTGACGATGGGCTTTGTACAGGCGTTTGAAAGAGAAAATATGAGGTTTTTTTTGCAGCAAACTGTGCCACAATCAATATATCAATGTCGACAATGTGTGTGTTCCTACTTAGAGACGCCGCCGTGTTTCTGATTCACTACAGTCTGGCCAATAACAATGCTTTCTGTTTCTGCGATTATCATGGAAGCAGTGTAGTGACAGATCGTCCCGTGTATTTGACAGTTTGTTAAGTCAAGGATATTAAAGTTTAATGAAC